GCTCATACCACACGCCATGCTTTTCCTTGAATTTTCGGGATTTACTGATGAGGTACATTGAGGCCTGTGGAATCATCTTTTGAACCTCATTCTTCGTCAGTGTTGACGGCAGGAGTGTAAGCAGTTGACAACGTTCCCGGAGAGAGGTGGCGGTTTCAAAGGCCTGCTGAAAGTTGTCCACCCACTCAGTGCATGTGGAGCATGTTGGTTTGGACGACCCCGATGGTGCGTCCCTGTCGTACGCAATACGTAGCCTTGAGCGTATATTCTTGACAGCAACCTGCTCCAGTTCTGTCTGCTTTCTCTTGACATAGGCAGGCCTGTCCCGACTTCTTACGACGCTTGGTTGTCTCAGCGGCGACACATCTGTAGGTAGTATGCTGCGATTTAGATCTTCAATTGCTTCTTCAGCTGGCACAAATATGTCAGGGCACTGCTCTGAGCTTCGCATCGAGATCTCCTTAGTGATGTGCATGAAGCAATGGTAGAACAGGTAGTCCGTCGCACTCACTTTGGTGGAACAGTCAGGCGGAAGAATTTGCTTCAACGAGTTTAGGTCGAACTCGCCAACACTTCGAAAATTCCGCTGCTTTGGTATAGTCTTTTTGTGTTTGCAAAAGTAATCTGCACAAAACACTCGTTCGGAGCTCCAGGACGTCTTCATAATGTATACATAAATAATAGAAATTAAACCCCAACTGATGGCATATAATTGCCAAGTGAAAGAACTACTGGGTGCACAAGTGACAAGTCCGAGGCTGAGGAGCTCACTCACTGCAAACGTACATTTGAAAAGAGAGGTCACAACTGAGGCTGTCGGCAAAGCTTGATCCACGTCCAAGGAAGAAAGAGGGAAAGTCTCCAGACAAAAAATTGTGGTCAGCGGCCTTCGAAAAAGACTTTCCGGAATCGCACTGTCGTCCCTCCACGCGCTGATATGAAAGCACCCGAGCTTCTACCACGTGGATCATGACACAGCCTGAGCCATGTCGGCGACCGGTTCGCGAGGGGTTGGCGGTGGGGTTACGTTGATGGTCACTCGGATTAGCCCTTGCTGTACTGAGCTACCGCCTGCAGTGCCTTATCGCCGGCTGGTGTCAACAACGAGAACACACACACCCTGTCTACACCAAAACTACAAGCGTTCACCGCACACGCGTCGCCGCCGCTTTTAAGCTTTTGTGAAATTGCTTTCTTTTGCCGCGGAGAACCGCCTTATCTTAACTACGCGCCTGAAATCCTTCCAGGCGGGCGTACACAATATCAAGCGTTTCGAGAAATGCCCGTGGAGTAGAACTATGGGAAAATTCGGAGCCCGCGATGTCGATATCGTCGCCGTTGTGTTAGTACGCCGTCGCGTACTGCAGTCCCCGTTGGGGGAGGGGGGGGCGGTCTTACTACGATAACATGGCGACAGCGTTTACACTCTGTGTATTTACGCGAGGCTCGAGTATTTGGGGATAATGCTGCCGGTTGGTGTGCCCCTTTGTGCCTGATATTTTCGCCCGTGACGCCAGCGAGTGAGATGGCGACAGGCATGACTGCTCAGTAAACAGGCGTCGGCGGCCATGTTTTGCTGGTTGAAGCGAACCCCCTTGTCCTTGACAGTGAGCGGGGAAATGCGAAAAAAAGATTGTATCGGCCGTTTTGCCAGAACTAGCGACGAGTGTCGCCTGCGGTTTCCGGCAACTATTTTGCCATAATCGTGAGCTTAGCGAAGAAATGATTTTTGCTAGCCACAGAACACTACCACGCAGAAAGGGAATGCTTGAACATGTTTTTGTTCTGGATATATATCAGGGTTATATATGAGAGAGAGAGAGAGAGAGATGAAGGTAGAGCGGAAGAGGGAATAGCATATAGTGTCGCAGGAGAATAAAGTAAACAAAGTTCCTAGTGGCCGATGGCTGCATGATCTTTTCTCGGATCACTATTCCGTAATATGATACCTCTTTGTACACAGTAGTTTCTCTTTTATTTAAGTGTGTGAACGATTTCTTTAGTTATCATTGGCCTCATCTGAATAAAAATATATAAAAGATGTGTGTTGGTTTCATGAAACTGGAACTCAGAGTCAGTTCTTGTATAAAACACTGCTAAGTGTAGGCTTTGAAAAAGGACCCTACTTTGGGGAGTTGTATCTTATTTCTCAATAAAATGATGCAACATGTTTTTAATGGAAATGAATGCCGAAATATAGTATAACAGGTTACCTAAATTTAAAAAAAATCGAGGGTGGTGTTTTTTTTTATTCGCATTGAATTTTTCTTTGTTTGATTTTTTTTCCATGTTTGACTAAATATATCCTAACTATTGTATCACACAGATACCTTAGTTATTTTTTAAATATTAGCTATATATTAGTAGAATAATATCTGCAAATTATATCATAATGATTAAATTATTTCATGAGATACAGACCTCCAAAGTTTGCCATTTGTCGTTCGAGCAGGCATGTTTGTCAATTTTTAGAAAAATAAATAAATTTTAAATAAATATGATTACTTTATATTACAAGCAAGCTATACCCATAGTTTGCGCCTAAAACGTATTAGATTTCTCCTAATGTTATCGCTTTAGTTATTCACTCTCAAACGGGCCCCCTCCATCAGTCCGCGTTAATGCAACTGTCCACCACCTCATGCATTACGATTTTTCCTGTCCCCAAGTATTTTTTCTAGTCAAAACTAAGTTTGGATTCGTTCATACCAGACACTAGACAATAACATATAAAAACATCAGTTGATTTGAAAATGTCGACTAGCCATCCTTTGGTCGATCTTATCTGAAATCACCCAGTAGCATATTGTAGAGCCGGCGGAGCGGCTGGAGCGGCTTCGAGTGAATGGTCGCCGACCAACGCCGCTACATCACCAGGCCATGATGGCCGAGAAGCGATTCTGCCTAGAGTCGTATTTGTACGACCCGTCTGCCTTGTCTTCGTCGTCCGCAACAGGTAACAGAGCTTACTCACAAAACGATCTTACAGCAAAACCTCAGAAAAGTTCCGTATTCACAAAGCGAAATAATCGGAAGTTTTTCGCACGCTACGATGAGATCCTACGACCACGCCTACGACAGCTACAAAGCTTTACGCACTTTTTATGATCAAATTGACATCGCCGGCAACATCGCTCGCTTACGTCGTCGCGACGACCAACGTGCATTTCTCTGTGATCTCTGTGCGCTTCCCAACGAGAGGAAAGAAAAAAAAGTAATTGAAACTGAACGCCGCGGCGGAGACAAACGCTCGAACCACGGATACCTGAAAAAGCTACAACGACAAGAACCCACCGACCAAGCGACCACCGAAGACGCTACGCTAGTAGGCTAAGCAAAATTCTTCGACGATCCGTGGCAAGACCAGACGATCGCCTGGCTTGATGAATGGAATACGCCCACGCGACCTCTGTGGACCCTCCTCGTATGAATAGTTTGAACCCTGACCTATAATTTGGGGTAAGAAGGCCACTCTTTCCCCTCGTCGTACCTAGCTAGTTTTCTGGTGCAGCGGTGACGAACGATCTCGTCGAGAAGAGACACTCTCCTCAATTCAATCTCCTTTTTTTTGTGTGTGTGTTATAGAGCTCAAATAAAAGCCATATGGATTGCCTTGGCAACTTGGGTACGTACACGTTTTTTAGATGTCCATTTTATTTCGACAAGATACGCCAAAACATGTCGAGTGAGAGCAGTTTTTGGGAGCGACTCAATGCTAGTCCAATCTTTCTCTGCCGAGCGTCTCGTCAGCATCGAGTTGCGATTGTCTAAAGGCCGGTTCTCACATGCAGCGGAGCGCTGATGTAGCGCTTCTCACGTGCCGTCAGCTACTTATCGTCTGCCATGAGTGGGCCTGACAGCAAGTGCCGGATCAGGATGCCTAAGTTTTTTGTCGTTTCGTTGCAGCTGCTGTTAGCGTTCCTGGTGCCGTCCTGCCCATCGCTGTCGGAAAACGTCAACACCGTCATCGGAGGCAATGTCTCATCGGCGACATCGGCAGTTACAAGTGTAAACAAGTTTCCGTTATCGCTTGGCCACTCGTGGACTGGTCAGCACGTGACCCCTACGGTGCAGTTTTCGTTGGAACCCAACCAGTTTCCATCAAGAGCCACATCGACCTCAGCGCCACAGGGTAGAAAAGCGGCAGCATCCTTCAACATCGCCAGTGGGCCTGACAGCAAGTGCCGGATCAGGATGCCTAAGTTTTTTGTCGTTTCGTTGCAGCTGCTGTTAGCGTTCCTGGTGCCGTCCTGCCCATCGCTGTCGGAAAACGTCAACACCGTCATCGGAGGCAATGTCTCATCGGCGACATCGGCAGTTACAAGTGTAAACAAGTTTCCGTTATCGCTTGGCCACTCGTGGACTGGTCAGCACGTGACCCCTATGGTGCAGTTTTCGTTGGAACCCAACCAGTTTCCATCAAGAGCCACATCGACCTCAGCGCCACAGGGTAGAAAAGCGGCAGCATCCTTCAACATCGCTAGTGGGCCTGACAGCAAGTGCCGGATCAGGATGCCTAAGTTTTTTGTCGTTTCGTTGCAGGTTAGTAAATTCAAATACTTTGAATTCAAAAGCAACTTTTTGTGTTTGTTTGTGCTGCCAGGCCCCAAGGCATGCTTTACGTTGTATCTTGAATATCTAGAGCTGTTTAGCGTTGTTGCTGCATATGTCCAAAGTGAGGGATTTGGGTTGCTTCTACTGCTTGGTGGGGATATTGAAACCAACCCTGGACCCATGACCAAAGCGCAAGAGGAGTTACTCAACAAAGTTTATGAAATAGTTGTGACGCTTCAGACCGGGCAAACCGACATCCTCCAGGGCCCGTTTTCTCGAACGCAAACCGTGGTTCAAAGTTAACTATTGTCGCTAGAACGGGGAATTTTAGGTCACGTGACTGGGCGAGCAGGGGTGCCGAGGGAGAAGCAGTACCTACAAGCAAAATGGCCGCGACGTCGCTTAATGAGGGCTAATAGTTCTGCTTGGTTCTGCCGAACATTCATTTCGATCCGGCTGTTATATTAATGACGCGCCATCAACCTATTAGCACGTCAAGCAAAGCGGTAGTTCAGAGGGACAACTAAGCTAACCGACGGCAGCATTCCGCGAACGCATCACTCTTCACCAGTCCGGGACCCAGGACATATGGCGGTACATCAGCCTTGCAAGTGTTTTTATGGTGAGTAAAAAATGTTTTGCGAACAAGCGTTGGTATACGAACAGCTTTAATTTGTTACACTATGCACGCCAACTCGCGAGCAGCGATTACTTTGCGGAGAGAGGGGTTATCTTCGATAAAGTCTTCGTTCCGAGTGAACAGCTGAGACATTGTACCGTTTTTTTTTTGTTCGCAGTGCGCCGACAGTATGCCGACAGCATCGAGGTTTCTACATATCCCCGGTGGCCAGCAATTCAACGGTGACGAGAACCTTAGCTTTACGCTGAAGCAGTGCCGCTGCGTCTGGTGCTGACCGCGACGGTCGGTCGATGCATCCACCAATGGAAAAGATAGTACAAGCGCGGTATACGAATCAACCTTGCCGATGTCATCTGCAGAAGTCGCAGAAACGAGAAATAAACAAACACTTATTACAAAGAAAGTTGACGAGATCATCCTTTCGCTTTTTTTTTCGTTTTTAAAACTGATATTAGGATTATCTTTCGTCTTATTGCGATATATAGCAAAATGCAGGTGTGCGGGTAGAGAAACCAAGGTAGCAGACGATAGTGTCCTGACCGCAAACGTCGGTTGAAAATGGACCAAGCGTCAGTATCGAGGGCTTGCGAAGAGGCAAAAAATTATGACATTAGACGAGAGATTGAAGTTAATTCGGGAAGTTGGGGCAAGAAGGGAACAAATTATGGGAAAATTCGGTCCTGCAGTAACTGCACACACGAGACAGCAGGCGTGGCTCGACATTGCCGATGCAATGAATGAGCAGGGAGCTCAGAGGACCGCAAAGCAGCTGAAGGAGGCGTGGCAAAGCCTCCTGAAAAAATGCAGAAAGGTCTACAGCGCCTACAAGAAGCATGAAGGGCGCACAGGTGAGTCGGAGGAATTTGCATATTTCGAAAAACAAACTAGTTTTCAATTGTTCGCTTTAAAGATGAGTGGGGGGGGGGGGGGGGGGGGGGGCAGGGACGCAAAAAATAAACAGAACCTTTTCTGCCATGGATTATAATGCCGTGTTTGCATTTAATTTTTTTATGGCATGACTGATGACAGATATAAAAGTGAGTGTTGACGTGTAACTTTCCACTACATTCCTGTCCCTGTTCGAAAACAGTAATAAAATCAAAAGAGGCACCATCTCAAAACACTTTATTGAAATTTTCTTTAACCGTGTTTTAGTAACCGAGACACACATTAAACAGCAAAAAGTGTGGTAGACCTGAGACAGAGGAGATCAAAATGTTGAAAGCACACCACCTAAACTGTGCCTTTTCTGTTGTTTTTAAGAAAACAGTCCTAAAACTTAGGGCATTGTTGTTCATCGAACACGTCGCTGAATACCCTACACTACTGCATCCTCAAGGCACAAAGAAAGCACTATGTACAAAGTTGACTGCAGCACAATTGCACGCAGTGATGTGCATGTTGGAAGGTCACTGTTGCGAGATCACTCCACTGCAATGTTAAGAAGTTACATTTCTGCCACACAGTACAAATTACTATGCTTTTATTTGATGCTTCATAATGCCGTTGGATTTCTGCTGTTTATATTCTAGCTTGATAGTTGGTTATTGATCCCCCTCCACTCTGCAATGCCTCTGGGGCCCGGTGACTACGGAATGAAAATAATGTGCATTCATTTCGTAGGTGCCGGCCCGAACCCCCATGAACTGACGCCCCTAATTCAGGCAGTTCTCGACGTGATCGGCGTCGACTCGCCGAACCTGTGTGGGCTCGATGTCATTGAGGGTGACACGGAAGAGTGATTGGATTACTCTTACATCAGTCTGTATGACAAGTCAACAGTACTGGGTGCCGGGCATGCAGAACAGCTCTGTTATTAATGGTGGGACCCTAAGAAACTGATATGAGAACAGGGAGATTGTAAAAATTGTCATAGTGCCATAGACACAATATCTAATTGGAAATCAGCGCACTTTCATGTATCACTACTGCGTGATGCAGGTTAGGGATAGGGAGCCCAGGCTAGCGGACATACTGCACTGCCTTTGGGTCACTTATGGCAAGCATGTAATCGTGAATTTCTCTTCATTTTACTCATACGGCTGCATAATTGCTCTACAAACAACCTGCAAAAAACACACACAGAAGGATATGTAGCAAAATGTGCTCATTACTAACATAACTAACACCCAGACAACAGAACTACCGATGTACCAAAGGCAGATATCCGAGCAAAGAGTTGTAGTACACTTTTTGATGGTTGAAGGAATGCAAGGTGGTGATATTTAGTTCTAACCTCTTAACCAACAGGTGCAACAAATAAGACGATATTCTTCCTTTGAAAAAGAAAGGTATAACCCTGTTGTTACGCATATTTGATTAGTTGTTGAATGAGTGAACAAACTCATCGTTTATGCTGTGACGAACTAGTGCGGAACGCAAAAAGGAAAGAGGTAGCGTTGCTGGCATCAGTTATCGGTTTAACAGCAGGATAGAAAGCCATAGCAAGATTGACTCTATACATAGCCAAGCGAAAACTCTTCTGTAGCATCGTGGATTTCGTAAACAACGAGACTTGAATGTTTGGTTTCACAACATCCTTAGGTGAAATAAATGGCAAGGTTAAGAAATTTATAAGAAAGCTAAAGGTAATGAAATACTGAAAGTTGCAACCGGTACAACGAATATTACCGCAATATCCCGAGAGACGACCCATCCCCGATAGCCCATCCTGATTTGTAGCAGGACTTTCTATTTTTCAATGGCTCAAGTTGAGCTACCTTGTGAACACCGAATGTTAGCCTACCCCTTATTTTTACTTAATGTGCTCTCAGTTTTGGGTGGGCAACTTCTCGGGATATTACGGTGAGCATGGATTTCTGCATGAGCACCATGTGTGTGGTCCACTCGGAGATGCTTGAAGCATCAGAGAGTTTCTGTTCTACAGTTAAGTACACTGTGGCAAAATTCCAGCAACATGTCGGGGTTACAAACACTGTATGTTATACGTATATTGCATGCACACTTTTAATAACTACAGCAAATCACTTCCTGCATATCCATTTGTCACAGCGATAGCTTGAGGCAAACGGCAGCGCCGCAGCCTCGGGCGTCAGGAAGCGGCCAAAGGGTGGCAGCAGCAGAAGAGTGGGCAGCAGCTCCCCGTGTCTTGCAGACGAGACGTTGGTGCCGGGAAGCTGCGCAGAGGTATCAGCAGCAAGCTGAGGACCAGCAGCAGATGGAGGCGGAGAACCTCCTGTTGGATAGGGAGGCAACAAGAAGAGCCATAGATGCCTCCAATGCACAAATCGCTGCGGCAGATGCTGCTAAACAGTATTACACTGAAATGCTAAGGCTACAAACCTTGCAGGCTGAACTTCAAATTGAGCTTTTGAAAAAACAATTGGGAAAGGAGTAATCAGAACAGACCAAGGGGGGGGGGGGGGGGGCATTAAGTTCTAAGATTTTTTTTTTTTTTTTTAGATTGACGAAGCAAGGGCGGATGTGAAATAATAAAAGTATATTCTGAAATGCAAGGATTTGTGAAAACCTCAGTATGTTATGGGGTAGTCGTCCCTGGAGAAAAACACTCGACCCTATGCGACAGCCAGTAAGATGGTGCAAGTAATTTTAACAAATAATGAAATTTTTTTATCGCCTCCCCAGTATTCCAGAGTACCACATTGGTATCCGACACCAGCGACAATCTAACCAGCGGAGTTTCCATACATGTGCGCAAGCCTGTCGACACGTCAAAAACATCATTGTTGGGCACTAAGGAAAGAAGCTTAACAATTCGACCCTGCTCAAAACAAAACAGCAAGAAAGCAAATAACCTAGGAAGTGCCTGCACGGCGCAGACAGTGATTATGCGTTTAAATGCATGGTTACTGGTGTGACCACTCGGTGTGCCTGATTTCTTCGAGGAGAGTGTGTCGCGGAATTTACACCGTTCAGGAACTCTGTACTCTTTTTGTTCACTTCCCGAAAAAAACCGGCATTACCATACTTCAACGTTGTTCGACAGCAATTTTACATACCCTTTACTCTTTTGCTAAGTGAAATAACCAATGACAGAATTATTCCTCTTATGTACATGACCCATTAATGGCTGTTATAATCGGACCACTACTGTGACGCATACAGGTTGACTCCTCTCACCTGTAGAATACTTTTAAATATGGTAATAATACCAACTTATAGGACAGAGGCGCAATAAAATGAAATGGTATTATTTTTAAGGCTATTATTTCGCTCACCCCTATAATTACTCGCACTGAGGGCATTGATGTTCGCGTTGCCTGTAGTACGAAGACAAGCACGATGACCAACACGCAGAAGTGGGCCGAAGCTTTTCGCACAAAAGCCGCACGCACTGTTGACCGAGGCACACAAAGCAAATATTGCAGGACATTTGCGTATGTGGTTCCATGGGTCATGCAGCAATTTCACTGTTAAACGCAGTTGCAATTATGCTGCTTGACCAACTCAAACCTTTTACAACGAGGTACGCTGCAAGACATGTCAATCAATCTTTGGGCATTTGTTACTACATACCGAAACTGGATGAGGCGAGAATGATTCTGATCCGTGCCTGCAATGCTGTTCAGAAGAGTTACCTTGTTTGGACACCGCCACATTACATCTTAAGTGCATGTCATTGTTGCAACCAACAAAAAACATGCTGCAATGAACAGGGTTTGCGAGACAATATGGTTTGCAATGTTTGAGGCACTCTTTCTGCTACAATGTTCGGAATCAGGAAAGGGTACAGACGTCTTCAATATGAGGGTGGACGCCTGAGCGGCATACGACGGGCGGTGCATCGTCTCCAAGCGACACTTTTGCAAATAAAGGTGGATAGCAGTCGCAGCACAACATCTGCTTGCTCTAATATCTGCCAATGCTTCCATTCTTTTGCAACGAGTGAATTCCGCAAAGCCTGTTTACCCTCGCATTGAAACCATACATGAAGAGTGCTTAATAAAGATTAAAATATCTATGTTCTCCAAGGAATATGCTGGGGTTGGTTCAGCCCCTTATATCAGCTGCTGGTAAAACCACAGCCAAAAGATGCCACGAAGCATTCAAGAACATTTATTATATGAAATCGCGTGCCACATTCAACTTGTTATTATGGTAATCCATTTACGGAGCCTGGTAAACACACAGAGAGGACAATATCTCTGTATGTTTCTCGCATTCAAGAAAATCAGTTTGAATTGAAAAGACCACATACCCACATACTTACGCTCAACAGAAGAACTGGTCGACAAGGGCACGCCGGGCCTCGTTGCTTTCTCCACAGCCGGCTGCCATGGGCTCCACAGGAACCTCAGGTGGGATGGCAGTCCCTGGCATCGCGCAGGGGTATCTCTTGGCGAGATTGTGGAGCACGCAGCATGCCACGATGATGTCGCAGCATCTGCTTGGCTCGATGCGCAGCTCGGCGTGCAGGCAGTGGAACCTGCGCTTCAGCTGGCCTATTGTCCAGCGTGCATCATATGGACAGAATGAGTATTATTTATTTAAATTACACTAATATATTAGGGCTGAGACTATTTCATACTTTCTGAATGCTGTAGCCTACCGAAAACCCGGCAATCATTTCTTATCATTGCCAAGATATATAACAGTATGTTTACATGTAGACCATATTAAACTTCCCTCGACAAATGTTCCTCATAGCTGAGTGTAAGCGAAACACAGTTTCATACAAACAGTCGTTAACATTAGCAGTCCGAAGATGTCTGTCAACGACTTCCCTATAGCAACCCGAGCCCGGTGCAATTTGTCACATTTTTTACGGCGAGTCCCAGCAGTCTGGAGTACTTTAGAATGTATGACAAGTAGGCGTGTAATTTCTGTAAAGGTGGGGCCGGAAAAAAAAAACACGGCTTTGCATTTGTATCTTTTTGCTCTTCTGTATCCAGGTTGAACCAAAATATTGCCTTTCACACGTATGTAACAATTCCTGCCCCTAACGAACGAACAATGTGATATGTTCTCCAAGAAATATGTTGGAGAATATTTCACGTTTTTGTTTTTTGATACGATGCATGCGTTTTGCGTGTCTGCTTTTTATGCAACACTGCATATATGTGTCTACGTTGCACCCTTATGCAGGCCCTCGGGCTGTATAGGGGCACTGGAAAGTACAATAAATAAATATATATTCTTGGGATAGTATTTTCTTTCTTCTCTCTTTAGGTTCCGTGCAATTACTGTTTTCTGCTGTGTCTAGAGAACACAAAACTGCATGTAGGGGCGTTACAATTAACAGTGTCTTCTGTGCTATGACAACAAAATGTTACGTTGTCTAGTGGCATTCTTTTCAATATAGCAGCCCAGTAACCCACCACGATGCGTGACTTTGTCTTACCTTTCAACAATACTCCTTGTCGTGGTGTGTGCCGTGTTGTACCTCACTTCTGCTGCTGATGATGGCGACAGGAATGGCGTCATCAGCCACGGCTGGCAGGTGTAGCCGCTGTCGCCGAGCAATAGGCCATCGTAGATGCCATCGGCCAGCTTGACTGATAGTGTGCTCTCGGTGAAAATCCGGGAGTCGTGCGTGCTTCCCGGCCATCTCGCAACCACATTGCGTATGCGGCAGGACGCGTCAACTACCACCTGTACGTTGATGGAATGGTACAGGTGGCGGTTCACGTACACCTCCTCGTGCACGCGCGGTCCCTGGATTCGAATGTGGGTGCCATCAACAGCACCCACGACACAAGGGAACCCGGCTACGTCAAAGAACTGCTCCTGCAAGGCAGCACTCTCTGCGACGTCAGGCCACCTGCATTGCCAATACATTCACAAGTTAATTTACAGCACAATACCCTAGCATGCACATTTATGCAAAGTTTAGCCGACAACATTCGTTTTTTCTTTCTGCTTCAGTGTTCATCGTAAGAAAGAAATGTCGTAAATATCGCCAAATGCCTCGACAAAACAAAATGTTCGAGAAAAAAAAAGTGGGCCCACACCGCGGATCGAACCCGTGTCCACTTATGTATGAAGCAGACACCTTACCGCCCTATGCACGGTGTATGCCCCTATGCTATGCCATCATTTTTTTTTTTTAACCCTATGCTATGCCATTGCTTATAAAACACGTAGTAACCATTCGTGTTATAGGCTCCCTGCACTGACGTCACATCGCATACTTTTGAACACCAAGTAAAAGGAGGAGAGGGAAACTGCCTTTGTAAGAATGTTGAGTGACAGGTTAATTTTCTCTAATCATCTGGCAGGAGAATAGCAACGCCTGTGCAAACCCGGGAGGCACAAAGGAGGACCCTGATAAGAGGGTAGCTCCTTCTTTTTCTCTTCTCTGGAGGGCAGTTTCGCGTATTGCGTATAGCCCTTTCCGGCCGAGGTGCACGACGGAGTGCGTATAGCTTTACTCATAAAGAAACTCAACACAATCTGACTTTTTTTTTTTTTTTTTTTTGACTCGGAACGCTCAGGAACTCTTTACCGTATGAAGTCTTACCGTATGAAGTCCCTTGCTCGACGTGCCAGAGCTACGGTGACCTGCCTCACGGACCGTGAAGCACTAGAGACTTGCACGTGAACGTAGTCGCCTGCAGTGATGAGGAAGTTGCCTGTGGCGTAGAATTGCAGAGCGACGATCACCTGTTGCTCTGCGGACAAGGCGCAGCTGCGACGCGTCGACCGCTCCAAGTCCGGCCGCAGCGTCTCCGCGAGAAACATAATTCCCGCGCGACCAAACCGGAATCGTTGCTGCAGCGCATCCTCGTCGAATTCTTCCAGCGGATCGAGGCGGTCCCGGAACACACGTTGTCGTCCCAGCATGACGACAGCGTACTGCGCGTACGCGCGGTCTCGTCCAGTTCGCCTCGTCCAGTTCGACATCGTTTCCGTTATCAAAGTACAAACAGGTCCGCAAATCAGTTGTTAGTAAGTCCGCAGTCGGTCGGTGGGCTAATCGGTGGATCGGTTGGGCAAACGGAAGAGAGGGCAAACAGTTGAGATCAGCAGGAATCGTAGAAACGTGCGTCGCAGGGAACGAAAACGAGTCTACAGCAGCGGCGTTGGCGGCGTTGCCAGACTGGAAGGGACTCGGGAAAGTTATGCGTTGTTTATGGCGAAACATAGTGAAGGAAATGTTTCTTACGTCTTCAAATATTCGTCGACAAACTCTAGCATGGTAGCTAAAATTTCTTCGTAGCCTCTGAAGCAAATAAATTGTTCTTCAAGTACAACATTACTATATTTTGACTTAAAATACCATACTAGAGCGATAACAACCAGCGGAAAAAGAGAATAAACAAAATGACTGGCTTGTTTTACCGACAGATGACGCATCTTACTGCCCAATCAAAAATAATTATTGTGGTTTTATATCCAGCCGTTGATTATAGTACCTAGGTACTTTTTCCTTCCTAGGTACCGTGGTTTACTAAAATGGGTTTACCATCGTTTCGAGAAAACCGGCCCAGGAACTAAAAGACCTAAAGGCTAAGCAACATTCCACCGAGAAATCGCTGAGTAATCTCGCTGCACGCGTCGACCAGTTAGAGAGTGATATAACTACGGTAAAATCAGTCAGCGTCAACAGCGACGTGGGCCCTTCCCCACAGATAGCCGCGGCTGCTAACGAGATATCGGAGCTCAGGGCACGCTGCGATGACGCGGAGAGCAGAGCGCGCAGATCAAATCTTCTTTTTTTTTTGGCTTCCCCGATAAGGATAAGGAAACATGGGGGCAGTCGGAAAAGACTGTTGTAGACGAGTGTCTCGACAAGTTAGGAGTTGTTCTTGCACCGTCGTGTATCGAAAGGGCGCATCGTCTCGGTATGTTTTCTCTGCAAAAGTGTCGCCCAATAATTGTAAAAATGTTTTCATACAAAGATAAAGAGGCCGTACTTTCTAAGGCCTACAAATTCAAAGGAACATAATTTTCCGTGAGTGAGGATTTCATACCATCAGTGCGACTTGCGCGGCGAAAGCTATTAGAATTTGCAAGACCCCAGGATATACCTTTCAAGCTGCGCTTCGACAAACTGCTGATTGGAAATAAGTGCTATATCTATGTACCCCAAACAGACTGTGTCAGTGAAGTGAACTCCCACGGGCCAGAACAGAATTTACCTAGACGTAACGCCGAAATTACTAACCGTGCTTCCGCTCGTCAGCCAGAACGTGACATCGTAAATCCTAATCAAGCTTCAGCTTCGTCATAGCGTTCAAGGAGGGGTGAGGCTGCTACTACCAACGCTTTGCCTAATAATAATATTTCTGTTCTTTTTACGAACATTAGAAGCATTATGAATAAACGGGACGATCTGTCATCAGTTGTGGACTCTTCTAACGCGGATGTTGTCGTGTTAAGCGAGACATGGTTGTTTAGTAAGATACGACTCTGTGAAATTTTGCACTGTCAGAGACGTTTCAACTTCTATCGTCACGACAGGGAAGAAAGAAAGGGTGGCGGGGTGTTGGTCGCGGTAGCAGAAAATGTACCATCGTTTTCTATCAATATTGTTTCTGAACTTGAGCTGCTATGGGTTGGTCTCCAGTTAAAAAATAAAAAATACATTTTAGGCGTGTGTTATCGCCCTCCTTCTAGCAATACTGCGTTTATAACGAATCTGCACGATGCGATCAACTCAGTCATTGTTCGTTTCCCGAATGCACCGATACTACTGTTTGGTGATTTCAACTACCCATCTATAATATGGTCAGACGAGGGTGCAAACCTTAGTCACTTCTCTTTTGAATGTAGTGAGTTTTTGAATCTTTGTTTAGATTTCAATTTCTCTTAAACTGTTACAAAACCGACGCGTACGACTACAACAACTGCTGCTGTGCTTGATCTCATATTAACAACATCGCCTGAGCTGATATCCTCGTTAACTTACATGCCTGGTCTCAGTGATCATTCCCTACTACACTTTTTTTTAAATATTCCTGGACGCAGTAAGTCCAATCAGACGAAAACATTTTTGGACTACGCTAGGGCTGATTTTAATTCAATCAACGACGAACTTTGCCATTTTCTAGAGGACTACATAGGTTGTTTTGCTGAGCGCTCAGTTGATGATAACTGGTGTTTATTTAAAGAGAAAGTTATGTCACTCATGAACGCCCATGTTCCCCTTCGCGTGGTATCTTCTTCACCAGAATCTCCATGGTACAGCGTGACATTGAAAAAGCTGTCAAATAAAAAGAAACGATTATTTCGCACTGCAAAGCTATCGGACCATGTACAACGCTGGGAGGCCTACCATGTTGCAGCTAGCGTATATAAGAAAGCAATCGAAGAGGCAAAATTACATTACTTTAACAATACGCTGCCATCAATGTTGCTTAACAATCCACGTCAATTCTGGAACGTTATTAACCCTCCTTCTAGTACTGGCATAGTGCTTAGGGACACCTATGGAGAGGAGGTGCCAAGTGAAGTCTGTTCTTTTTTGTTAAATGATGTGTTTGTTAGATCTTTTTCATGCACGGTAACCTCAGATTGTCCTGTATTTAGAACTTATGATTTTTTGCCCATGTTTCCTGTTATTGTAAACTGTGAAGGTGTATCTAATATTATTGAAAACCTTAAAACCAATACGACCGCAGGCATTGATAATATTAATGCTAAGTTTTTGAAAAACACTAATACGTACTCATGCGTTATCTTATCTAAATTATTTTCGCAATCACTCGAACAAGGAGAATTGCCAAAAGATTGGAAGGTGGGGAAGGTGATCCCTCTCCACAAAGGTGGCGATAAGCATAACCCTATAAACTTTCGTCCCATTTCTTTAACGAGCATTCCTTGTAAAATCCTTGAGCACATCATTTACACTACCATTTTCAATTTTCTAGATTCAAATTCGTTTTTTAGCTCAGCGCAACATGGATTTTGAAGGTTTTATTCATGTGAAACTCAACTCCTAACCTTTACTCAGGACCTTCACGTAACACTTGACCGGGGTTCCAGGACTGACTGCATATTTCTTGATTTCTCAAAAGCTTTCGACAAGGTTCCTCACGCGCTGCTTCTTCATAAACTCCGTAAACGTAACATAGATCTAAATATAATCGCTTGGATAGAATCGTTTCTATCAGACCGTTACCAATTTGTTCACGCTAACGGAACTAATTCTTCAACTTCACCTGTCAAGTCCGGTGTCCCACAAGGTTCCGTATTAGGTCCACTTCTATTTCTTATATATATTAACGATCTTCCCACGCATGTATCTTCTTCTATTAGCCTAGTCGCTGATGACTGTGTAATTTATAAGGAAATCATTAACGGCTCTGACATATCTGCTCTTCAGACCGATATTAACAACGTCACCCGCTGGTGCGATAATTGGCTTATGGAACGTAACACCTTTAAATGTAAATCTATGAGAGTGTCCCGTCAAAATAACACTTGTCCCTCCTACTGTATTAATAACTCCACCTTGCTTTCTGTGTCAACCTATAAATATCTCGGTGTTCATATAACTAACGATCTCTCCTGGAACATCCATGTCGACTATATCACTAACAACGCTAATCGCTTATTAGGCTATCTCAGAAGAAACGTTTCCCTTGCCCCTGTTTCACTTAAACTTCTCCTATATAAAACTTTAGTGCGCACCAAGCTTGAGTATGCAGGCTCTATCTGGAACCCTGGCGTATCCCTAGCATCATCCATTGAATCCATTCAAAATCGCTCCGCACGTTTTATACTTTCTAACTATCACCGTACAGCCAGCGTCACCTCCATGAAAGCGTCTCTACATTTGCCCAATCTCTCCTTTCGTAGAAAAATAGCTCGCCTCTGCTTATTTCACAAAATGTATCACTCTAACCCAGCACTTTGAGCCTCATTAATTTCAGAACCATCATACATATCGCCGCGCACCGATCATCCACTAAAAGTAGGAATCCCCTACTGCATCACTTCCACCTTTTATGCCTCCTTCCTACCTCTGACCTCCGTCGACTGGAACCGCCTTCCCGCATCCGTAGTCTCACTTACTGACGCTGCTGATTTTAAAACCGCCATAACTGATGTTCTTAACAATGTTCCATAGCGATTCTGTACCTTGTGTTTGTTTGTTTTTTGCGTTTTGTTTTTATTGTTCACCTTATATTGATGTATATATTTCCACTCCTCTCTGTAATGCCTTCGGGCCCTGAGAGTATAATAAATGAAGTGAAATGAAATGAAATGAGCAACAGTTTTGACGGTGCGATACAAAGCTGGTGAACGCTCCCGTCAGCACGCGCTTAGCGCGAGGTAAGCGTTATGCTTGTAGCGCTCCGCTGCATGTGTGAACAGGCCTTAAAGGCCCAACGGTTCATAAAATCGGTTGTAAAAGACCGTTTTCGAAGCGGTTACCAAGAACGCAATGCCAGTGCGGTTCTGCTCAGCGCGAACAGGTATTTACGTGGATCTTGCTAGCTGACACTATTTTAATTCAAACGCATCTTCCTGGATGTTGGCTCTCTCCCGCATCCCCGAAAAGCGCCGCAGGGATTTGTTTGCATGCGCGCCGCTTTGCACAGCCGTACGGGTCGTCTAGTTTTAGCAACGATGGTAGTTGTGTTGACTTCTTAGCGGTCGAGTTCGTTATCAGTTGCGGTCGGCGAAGGCGGCTATCTCGTGATCAGGAAAGATGGGCATGCGGGCCCGTTTAAAGGGACCATGAAATGACTTTTTTACTTTTTCCACATAACTTTTACAATAAACCGTCAATGTTCACTGAATGCCGAACAGGCATCCGTTTTCGTCTCGGTTTATTAACTTCTACACAAAAAATTAATGAAATATCGACTTTTTCTTGACCGCAAAACAAGCCGTGACGTACGATGTTTCCGGAACCGGAAGTTCTCTCTGCAGTAGGAGATGGGAGCGTTAGC